AACTCCAAGGTTTCTGGTTGTTTTTGAAGGAGTTATGGTTGATGTGTCTAACTGGATGGTGAAATTGTGATGAAACGATGGGTTTGTTGAAATCACAAGCAGTTCTGTCTTAGCCAGGTTGAGTTGAAGATGATGGTCCTTCATTCAGCAAGAAATGTCTGTTAGACAAGCTGAGATGCGAGCAGCTATCGTCGGATCATCAGGATGGAATGAGAGGTAGAGTTGAGTGTCATCAGCATAGCAGTGATATGAAAAGCCATGTTTCTGAATGACAGAACCTAGTGATGCCATGTAGACAGAGAAGAGAAGTGGTCCAAGTACTGAGCCCTGAGGCACCTCAGTAGCTAGATGTTGTGACTTGGACACCTCACCCCTCCAAGATACCTTGAAGGACCTATCTGAGAGATCAGACTCAAACCACTGGAGTGCGGTTCCTGAGATGCCCTTTGCCAATAGGGTTGACAGGAGAATCTGGTGGTTAACCGTGTCAAAAGCAGTGGACAGATCCAGAGAGATAAGTATTGAAGATCTGGAATCCGCTCTTGCCAGTCTTAGGGCTTCAACAACTGAGAGCAAGGCAGTCTCGGTTAAATGTCCACTTCTGAAACCAGACTGGTAGCTGTCGAGGAGGTTGTTCTGTGTGAGAAAGGCTGAGACTTGGTTGAACACAACTCGTTCAAGTGTTTTTGCAAAGAAAGGTAGAAGGGAAACCGGTTTGTAGTTCTCTAGTGTGTGTGTGTGTGTGTGTGTGTGTGAGTGACAGGCACAGCAGCACTCAGTAACACAAGAGCACCTGCATGCTATCTGAGCTGGCAGAACGATGCAGATGTTTATGAGATGTGCTGCACACTGCCTCACTAGTGTGCTATAAAGTATTATACAAACTGCTCAAGACAAATCACCAGCATTCATAGATCAGACTGTACATGTGCATATTACTGCACACACATGGATGGCATGCGCACCTATCTGAAAAATGACCTGTGAGATATACATATGTGTAGCACATGTGGGATATATTTACATTTATATATATAGTTCTGTCTACACAGCACAACATACTACACCAAACACATAGCCTATACACAGCTTCACAGAACTTCTCTTTCTTTCTTTCTTTCTTTCTTTCATTTATTTAATATCAAACAAATAATACAATAGAGAGAAAGAATAACCATCAGGAGAATCTGATATTCACAACTATTAGTGCTGCTCAGATTATATGAGCGTCCTGCTAGGTTTCAGTACGTACAGAAAACATCATCGTGTGTGTATGTGTGTGTGTGTGTGTGTGTTTACTGGGGTGGATTTCTATGATGATGAGGTTAAACTCTAACATAAAGCACATCACAAAGAGCGAGCATGAGAAAAGAGGGGCGGACGAACCGATATAGGCGGGGCTTAGCGCGCTTCTGCTTCTCGATTGGCCACTCGTTACATCACTCAACCAGTGGTGTTTACTGATTGGTCAAGGAATTCTAGTCAGTATTCCGCTTAGTCACTTTGGCGGAGTCTGTGAACTTGAGCTGCGACGAGGCTCTGCTGCGGAAAACTGTCAGCCCTCAGCCGCAACACTCGAGTCTGGAGCATCAAGAGCCGATTCCAGATGGAAGAAGCAGATAAAGTTTCCTCCACTGCACCCGATGGAGCTCCGCGCGATATCATCATGAATGAAGCCGCTGCAGTCGCTCCGACACCGGCAGACGAGACGCTGCGCAGCGCGGAGGAGCATTCACCGGAGAACACTAACCTCACTACTGCACAGATAACTAGTGCTCCACAGATGACTGAGGTAACTAGTGCTCCACAGATGACTGAAGAAAATATTACTCCACAGAAAACTGAAGTAACGTTAACTAGTGCTCCACAAATGACTGAAGAAACTAGCACTCCAACTGAGGTAACTAGTGCTTCACAGAAAACTGAAGTAACTAGTGCTCCACAGATGACTGAAGAAACTAGCACTCCAACTGAGGTAACTAGTGCTCCACAGATGACTAATGAAAATATTACTCCACAGAAAACTGAAGTAACTAGTGCTCCACAGATGACTGAAGAAACTAGCACTCCAACTGAGGTAACTAGTGCTTCACAGATGACTGAAGAAACTAGCACTCCAACTGAAGTAACTAGTGCTCCACAGATGACTGAAGAAACTAGCACTCCAACTGAAGAAACTAGTGCTCCACAGATGACTGAAGAAACTAGTGCTCCACAGAAAACTGAAGTAACTAGTGCTCCACAGATGACTGAAGTAACTAGTGCTCCACAGAAAACTGAAGTAACTAGTGCTCCACAGAAAACTGAGGTAACCGCTCCACAGATGACTGAGATAACTAGTACTGCACAGACAACTGAGGTAACTAGTACTCCTGGGATGACTGAAGAAGCTATTACTCAACAAAGATCTGAAGACGCCAGTGCTCCACAGATAAGTGAAGAAAGCTTGACTACCCAGATAGCTGAAATAAGCAGCACTTGGCAGATAACTGAGGAAACTAGTCTTCCAGAGCCAGCAGAAGAAAGCTGTACTCCAGCTGCTAGCGAAGAGCCTCCAGAGACCGCTGGAGCAGCACCACCCTCCTCGTCCTCGGAGCCGGAGCTGAGGGAGGAGAGCGTGACTGCGGCGCAGGAGGAGGCCCCCCGAGCATCTCGCTCCGAGCACCGAGAGCCGTCACCGTCCCGTGAGTATCGCGCTGTTTCCCGCGCTGTCCGTGCCGTGATGCGGCTTCTCTGGATCACAGCGATCAGATACAGCGCATCTCTGTGTCCGCTGGCGCGCTAATGACACGGCGTTATCGTGTGAGTATTAGACAGTATTATAGTGTGAGTATTAGACGGTATTATTGTGTGAGTATTAGACGGTATTATTGTGTGGATGTAGTCGGTGCGGCCCAGCCGCCTCACGAGACAAAGACCGCAGCGCGACAGGAGCATTCAGCACAGAGATCATATTTCTGAACATATATATTTGTATGAGTTGTTTATTTGAGGCTTCAGGTATGTTTATATAAACGTCTATCTATCTATTATATGAGGCTCTTTATGTTTATTTATATGTGACTTTATATTTAAGGGTGGGACTGCAGTATATAGAGAGAGCATTAGACAGATATGTTTACATGAAGATTGTTACACAGAGCTGGGTAGTAACTGATTCCAGAAATTAAGTACTTGTATTTAGATTAAATTACAGTTTAAAATACTCGTAATCTGACTACAGTTGCTTTTTTATGGATTGCATGAATACATATTCACACTAAAGCAATAATTTATTTATAATATATTGATTCTCCCCAATTCCTGTCTTTCATCTTTTAAATGTTCCTTTTAAAATGTTGTGGACATTCACTCAGAGATCAGTCATTAGTCAGGTGCTACACAGCATTTGAGCTGGATTTACACATCATTTCAGCATCAGCTACTGACCAACACCTTCATTTTCATGTGAATTATGAATTATTTTTTCAGTAAGTGTTTTATTTTGACTTATTTTAAAATTAACTTAACATTTTAATTAATTATTAGCTTTTCATTAAACCCATAAAGCCCCTGTAGTTTCTTCACAAACCCAGTTTGAGAAACTTTGACGTAATGTAATGTTTAATGCACTTCATGTTGTTCATAACAACAAATGAAATATATTTTCTCACTCTTTGTATTTTTATATCAATATGGTATAACATTATCCTATTTAAACCAATGTGAAAAATAAGATAGGTCAAAAGTAATGTAAAAGTAGTCTTGACTGCGGCGCAGGAGGAGGCCCCCCGAGCATCTCGCTCCGAGCACCGAGAGCCGTCACCGTCCCGTGAGTATCGCGCTGTTTCCCGCGCTGTCCGTGCCGTGATGCGGCTTCTCTGGATCACAGCGATCAGATACAGCGCATCTCTGTGTCCGCTGGCGCGCTAATGACACGGCGTTATCGTGTGAGTATTAGACAGTATTATAGTGTGAGTATTAGACGGTATTATTGTGTGAGTATTAGACGGTATTATTGTGTGGATGTAGTCGGTGCGGCCCAGCCGCCTCACGAGACAAAGACCGCAGCGCGACAGGAGCATTCAGCACAGAGATCATATTTCTGAACATATATATTTGTATGAGTTGTTTATTTGAGGCTTCAGGTATGTTTATATAAACGTCTATCTATCTATTATATGAGGCTCTTTATGTTTATTTATATGTGACTTTATATTTAAGGGTGGGACTGCAGTATATAGAGAGAGCATTAGACAGATATGTTTACATGAAGATTGTTACACAGAGCTGGGTAGTAACTGATTCCAGAAATTAAGTACTTGTATTTAGATTAAATTACAGTTTAAAATACTCGTAATCTGACTACAGTTGCTTTTTTATGGATTGCATGAATACATATTCACACTAAAGCAATAATTTATTTATAATATATTGATTCTCCCCAATTCCTGTCTTTCATCTTTTAAATGTTCCTTTTAAAATGTTGTGGACATTCACTCAGAGATCAGTCATTAGTCAGGTGCTACACAGCATTTGAGCTGGATTTACACATCATTTCAGCATCAGCTACTGACCAACACCTTCATTTTCATGTGAATTATGAATTATTTTTTCAGTAAGTGTTTTATTTTGACTTATTTTAAAATTAACTTAACATTTTAATTAATTATTAGCTTTTCATTAAACCCATAAAGCCCCTGTAGTTTCTTCACAAACCCAGTTTGAGAAACTTTGACGTAATGTAATGTTTAATGCACTTCATGTTGTTCATAACAACAAATGAAATATATTTTCTCACTCTTTGTATTTTTATATCAATATGGTATAACATTATCCTATTTAAACCAATGTGAAAAATAAGATAGGTCAAAAGTAATGTAAAAGTAGTCTGATTATATTATCTAAAATGTGTAATGCGATGGATTACGTTATTTTTGTCATGTATTTTGTAATCAGTAACGGACTACAATTTGTAAGTAATCTACCCTGCTCTGTTTCATCGTTCAATAGGCATTGCTGTATTGCTTTAATTGAATTTGATCATGAATAAAGACCTGTGTAATGATGTAAATGCTGTATTATTTGATCTCTCTGTTGATGAGAGAATGATGGCCCGCTGTCAGACGGCTTATTAAGAGTTTCTTCTCATGTTTCCTTGTAGTTCCTGTAGCTGTTGTTGGTCGTAGGCCAGTTCTCATGCTTCCACTGCTCCTCCTTGTGTTCATCCATTAATACTAGGGATGCTCCAATCGATCGGCCGGAGATCGGTATCGGCCGATAATCACGTTTTATGACTCGATCGGTACTCACTAACTTGGCCGATGTCACGAACCGATCGCAATTGAATGACGTCAACGCGTGACGACGTACATGATGCGTGGAACATAAATGATTTGGCGCCGCAGTCATGTCATCGCCGGTGTGGAAATGCAATGACGTTTCGAGAAACAATGAAAAATTAGCTATTTGTCGTGTATGATCTGCATGATGATATGATGAATGGATGGTTCATTTTTAACAGCAGATTCAGTGACGTTAGAGCTGATCTGCGCCTCACTGCACGCGTCTGCGGCGCATTATGGCTCCACGGGACTAAAACTGCAATTCATCGTTGGCTCCAAAAGAGAGTCAGTCCCGTAGACTCCCCATGTTAAAATGCCCAACTTTACAGCAGAAAAAAATGTTTACAGCCTGGTACAAAAAGTGGTTTTGGTCTATATAGCTAATTTTTCTGTGAGGGGGGTGAATTTTTTTATAACTCATCCGTTTAAATTATATTAAGCCTTATTTTTAGTATCGTTTAAATAAAAACATTTAATTATAATAAAAAATACATATAATAATTTAACTCAATAATTCTATTTTTTATTTATTATAATTTCCCCGCGCCACCCCTGACATGCTCTGGCGCCTCACACACACACACACACACACACACACTCACACACACACACACTCACACACACACACTCACTCACTCACACACACGCACATACTCGCACGCACACACTCACACACACACAGAAGAAGAGTGGTAATGTGAGATATCATGGAGCTCAGGATGGATGACAAACTCAATTAGAGTTGATCTCAAACCTGTTTAGTCCTCCGTGCAGGAAGTCTCTGCCTGATTCAGCATGCACTTCCTGTTTGAGTGTGAAGAGTGCTGTATTGATCTGGAGAGGCCGTTCCTCCTGCTGTCACCTGTGTGTGTGTGATTCAGGACAGCAGTCATCTAAATTAAGACTGAGACGTCTTCATGCTCGTTTCCATCAGGATGGAGCGATCTTAAGTGAGTGTTGAGTGACACTCGGCCTTATGAAATCCAGAGCTCCAGATACGAGAGAGGAACACTTTATTCTGATAGACTATCAGTAACTCTGCAGCGACATGTCAACTTACTCTACTAGCCCTAACCTAACAGTCTACTAGTACTCTGAGACTGACATGTAGCTGTGAATTTCCTTACTAAGCAAATAGCGGCGTGAGAGCCGTGACAGCAGCCTCTGATTCACTAGCACCGGAGGAGTCTAATACCGTCACAGCATATGACATCTCACTGATATTGAGCCTCGTGGAAATGCACAGTAAAACACAGGTTTTGACTTGGATGTAAATTTACTCGTATTAACAACAGCAACAAGAATTGTAAGGACAAAGTTAGTTTTATACGGAAGGTTTTATATATATTCTGCTGGTGAGAGACTCTACAGGCCTTAAATATTTGCTCATTGCCCGGTGGGTGCTTGGCATATGTCAAAATAGATGTTTTTTTCAGCTTGCCATTAGCAAATTAGAACTTAAACATTTAATCAAACTGACAACGAACAATTCACCTTGCTCGGGATCTTAAGTTACAGTGGAGTATATGGCCTGCATAAGAAATTTGTAGAAAAGCTATTGACAGCTTCTGTAAATACTGTATTCTGTAAATATTGCACGCGTTCACTTACGGTTGATGCAACAAACTTAAGCCTTTTATTTATTTTCAGTTCTTCAGTTACAGAAACAGAGCTATATAGACACAATAAGTTCACATGCAACATACCGACATCTTCGACAGTCAGCCTAATAAAAATATTATGAACGCTCCGCGTGTTCACCTACGGTTTGGTTAATCTCCCTCCAATCACAAACACGGACACTGAACCAACACCAAAGGCACCTGAAAAAAAAGAACAACAGTTAGGCCTCATTATAAATCATGTGTGGGGTAGTAGTGGGACAAAAATATACAAATTCAAAGTAATGTGATTTTTTTTTGTGCTTTTTCCTGAAGATCATAAAATTTGTTAAATATAACAAACTTAACAGCATAAGAACACCAATTTAAAAATGCAGTCATAGATGATCTTATGCAACCTAATGAACATCATAAAAACCCACATCCTGATTCCTGTGTCACTCTGCACACATATATTTGAGCATTTATTCCTGATCCTTATAGGCCTACCTAATATATATAAAAAATACCCATTTAAAAGGGTTGCGAATAACCTAGTGGTATTTTCCATCATATTAGGACATACTTGGTTTTGAATGCATTTATTGGAGAAATTCATCTTTACATTAAGAAATAATGACTTAAACATAATATTACTTAACAATTAGCTAAAATAGAACGGATAATTATATTGCTAAAGATCTTCAGTTACAAACACGGACATAAGACGGACTCAACCTAGACAGAAGTTGTATAAAACATTGACAGATTTTAAGAAAAATATTTTGTATACTAAGCTTTAAATTGGAATTGGCTAGAAACGCACACATTTTAAATTCAGCTGTACATAAATAAGTTCATTCTGACATTCTAACTTAACGATTAGTTAAAATCCAGTGCGTAATTCACATGTCTCCTGATCTTCAGTTACAAAAACGTAGCTTAATCACAGGAAATTAACATAAGGTATATCGACAGCTTCTATAAGAAAAAATTATGCACATACACTAAGCTGTAACTTCTTAATATAACAAATTAATGGCGCATATCTGGCGTTTTCCCGTGTGTGCTTGAGGCCTGTGCACATGACTGATGACTGACCTTCATCCATGGGTTTACTCATACATCACTTGGTTAGAGAGGATTACCAGCTAGTTAGAGGCTTCTGAGTATTAACAGCACTACATAGCTCATGTGTCATGCTTTATTTATCTAGCAATTACTTTGATAATCCGTGAATCTGTTGATTTATTTCTTTGATTAATCACTTTTTATGTAAAATGCCTATGTAAAAATCCCGTTTCCCTATAATTTTATGTAAAATCCCTTTCTTTTATGTTTTACACAGTCAGTAAAAATGTTTAGGAAAATACTGTGTGAACATTATATTATGGCTGAATAAAATGTTATTGGGTTTTTCTCTGGCCGATGCCGATATTTAGAAATCATGGCAGCCGATGGCCGATATGTTTGGCCAATTTTTTACTTTTTTTTCTTCATCTCATAAAAGTGAGTTTGAGTAAATGATTATTGCAGGGCACAAGATAGTAATAGTAGTAGTAGCCTAATTCAGAGTAATAATACATGGCTCAAAACTTAAGCAACTTCTCAAAACAGTTCTGAAGCATGCTTTTTGTTTATGTTTGCTGACAGACACCAGTGTTTCCCACAGACTTGCAAATGCAAATTCATTATCTGCCAGCAGGAGGCGCTGTTGGAGCGGGAGATATTGCGGTTTCCCCGGTAACGGCTGTAATCTAATAAGCATTACTTTATCAGGCATTACAGGAAAGACGAAATGAAAATGACATTGTAGCTTTTCTGAAGACGGTTGGTTCTTTTCAAAGATACATTCATATAAAAACACCCGCGCTGCATTTTAATTTTGAAACGCGCAGTGCTCAGTTTATTCAACAAAGTATAAGCCTTTTGGAAAATCTATTTACTCAATGTGTGGGAAACACTGGACACTGCTATAAGTGAAATGGCCAAGAGATAACAAAAATAAAAGAGTTCACACGTATTACACAGCCTGCTGCTCATAACTGCTTAAGAGTGCGCTGGCCACGAGCGATGACATCGTGGAGGCTATCGTCGGACCCACACACACATTTCACGAGGAAAGCTAACGTGCACGTTATAATCAGACCAGAAGTTTCTTCTGAACTGCATGTGTTTCTACTTTCACATGCAAATGACTTGTTGCAATATGATATCTTTCCGGCATCAATTCTAGTAGGGTAAAACGTAATTACGCTTTCGAAACGGTCTGTTTTGGGCTGCAGAGTGTGAGCTCCTCCGTCTCTCACGCAGCCAGAGAGAGATTCTCCGGTGTTCCGCAACAACGCTTAGCTGCCCACAGATGCGCCTGCCTATAAATCGGCCTAATTTGCAGCACAATCAAAAATTAATTCAAAAATGCCAAAAATCAATCGGTCGACCTCTAGGCGAAGGGCGTCAGTTCTGTTACAACACACTAAACATACAACATTATACATATACCATCAAAACCGTTCCACTTCCACATTATTAACTGTTTATTATTTATGTAATTAAGTGAGTAAGTGGCGTTATTTTGCATCATTCACATTTAATTTTGAGACCACACTCTTCCTATCGGTCTGTTTTAATCTAGGAGACTGAAATTAACGTTTTCTCAGCTGAGAGATTAGCAGGTGTGTGTGTGTGAGAGAAAATATATACTATTATAATCATGAAGTCTGATCAGACGAGGTGTGTTACAGATGAACATACTCCTGCTGTTCACTGTGACTGTCAGGCGTCAGAACCAGGACAGGACCCACCCACTTTTGAAGACCAATGCTATTGGACCCACCCACTTTTGAAGACCAATGCTATTGGACCCACCCACTTTTGAAGACCAATGATATTGGACCCACCCACTTTTGAAGACCAATGATATTGGACCCACCCACTTTTGAAGACCAATGCTATTGGACCCACCCACTTTTACCGTCTCTAATTCAGCGAATATGTCTGTGTACTTTTCAGAGCGCCGTCAGTCAAATCCATTCCACATGACGAATGCCCTAATAAATTAAACTCCATTTAGCTACAGCCTTGAATTCCACGCTGCTGCCTCCTCAAATCCATATAAATTAAACTCCAGTCCGTGTTTTCACTAACGTAACTCAAAGTAAACAAAGCATCTTAACGTATCTGCTGCTTAGATACACCTAACCCCACGATACTTTACTTCAACTTTTCAATTATTTCCTTGATTTTTGTTTTTATTGAAAACAAATGCCTTCCGATGTGATATGAGATGAGACAAGGAGAAGAACATTTTCGGCAAAAGGCGGATGCGAATTTGGGTCGCTCGCGTCAAAAACACTACGCTACCCGCTTTACCGCTTACTCCACTAGAAATGTTATTTAGCAGCTGTCTTTTGTAATGTTGTGACGTTAGTGGGCGGAGGTGATGTAAATAGCCTCTGCCAATCAGGCGGCCTGTTTGCACTTTGTCTAAATAGACACTCCGTTAATTAACAGGCACCAGACTTCAGAAAATGGCATATACTCCAGTAATTATTTTCTGGGGGAGGACCCATCCACATTTATTTTGTTTCCCCACGCCCGTGCTGTCAGGGGCTGTTATCTAGCGGAAGAATGCCGTTTAATGATTTACTTCAGACAAGTAATATATTAAAACATATTTGGGCTTTTATATTTACTGTATTTGTGTTAGCTAACTATGCCCTTGTATTATATTCAAAATATAGGACAGCCTCTCATACTTTACTGCCTAAAATAATACGTTTATTCATTAAATTGAAGATTCATTGTGAAAATTATATTTAATTACAAATTTTAATGGTAGATGCAAGTAAGTCTTTACAGAATTCTAAGTGATTAGCCTAGTTTTTTTTTATTTTTTATTAATAGTGCTTGTTTTTTTCGGTTGGTTTGATGCTTGATGAAGTTTGTGAAATAAAACTAGCTTGCTGTAAAGATGCTCCAAACCCCGTAGGACTTGCATTCGCCTGAAGAACACTGAAGCTGTTTGGAATAATCTCTGCTCCATTCATATGAATTAAGATGTCGTTCTGCACTTCTTGATGCTTCAGAAGGATTGTCAGTCTTGTTATTCAGGTGTGGCTGAAAAACGTTTGACATGACGTGACTCTGCACTGAGTAAAGCTGCAGGCTGCTGATTTTATTCTGTATAGATTAGTAAACCATACAATAACACAGAGTGTCATTGTCACCATTTTAATGAACTATTTTTAACAATAGGGCTGAACGATTTTGGAAAAGACTTTCCTCCTCACCAACTGCATTAAACACCGTGTCTACACCGGACACGAGAGGCAAAATACAGTAGAACCATTATAATCAGTGTCTACACGCGACACGACAAAACCCAACATTAAACTGATGCCTTGTTCTATTTATGACGTACTGACACAAAGTTAATATGATTTGCAACGGTCGCTTTGTCGCGTCCAGTGTAGAGCTGTTGCGGCTGGTATAGACACGGTGGGCGTCCGGTATAGACACAGTGAGTGAAGCCGAGATCAAGATATGCCTCGTCATATTTTCTGCATTTAGC